GAGAAGGAGGCACAATGTTAGGGTAGATATGAACAATAAAAATAAAATAACATTGAGACACATGAACATCAACCTGTGGAGGGACTTTGTGAAACAGTATAAATATATTTACATAACAATTTAATCAAAGTTATATAAATATATAATTATTTTAAATAGTTATGGAGGAAATAAATAAACTAAAATAACATGGGACATATTACTCTTAGATTAAATATATGTATACAAACATGTTTTATATTGAAGAATAATAACAGTGTAAACTTCTTCTCACTCCGTTTTGAACAAATTCAGGAGATAAAATTATTGATTCTTAATCTGCAAAACCTTTTTTGTGCATAAATGTTTAATAAATGTGTTCCTGCTTCTTTAAACTGATTTGTTCAAAATACAGAAATTCACTTTCACTGCATCAAGATATCAACTGTAACAGCTGCAGAAACCAAACTGAGGTCAACTGGATCAGTGACCCCAACCTGGTCCTCAAAGTCCTGCAGCTTTAGGACATAAATGATCCAGTGATTAAAACTCCTGCAGAACCTGATGGGCTGCAGAGGAAATAATACAATTATTACAATCATTAGAGCTGAAGGTCATTTTAAATCATGGAGGACGTTGGACCCTGAGGATGAAGGTTGGGGATCTGAACTGGAACAACCACAACCCTCACTGTGGGTCTGGTGATCTGTTCATCTTCTGCTTCATTAAATAAAGACGAAGAACCAACCCAGTAACCAGTGAAACCATCAGAACGGCTCCAACAATCAGTCCAACATGTTTGTTTCTGCTTCCATCTTCTTTTCTTCCCTCCTTGTTTTCTGTCAAACAGAATCAGAGCTGAAGGTCAGAATCCATTTCTCTTCATCTGCTGCTCTCAGACCAGCTGCTTCTGCAGCAGCTTTAGAAACACAAACATCTGGGCTGACAGGTTCACTGCAGAACCAGAACCACATCTGGCCTTAAAGGGATATTCCCCCTAGATTAGCCACAGAGACTCTGGAGACATTTTACCTTTAAGAAGATTCACTGATTGAACATTAAACCACTTTATGCAGCTTCCTTCTTTCACTGGAACATAGAAACCATGAAAACTCACCAGTAGGAGGCGCCACATCCAGGAAGACGGTCCAGATGGGGTCAGAGGTCAAAGTGCGTCTCTTCCTGCCGGTTGCTTCTCTCTGGAAAACCCGACACTCGTATGTTCCCGTGTCGTTGGTCGTCACGTTGCTCAGAAGCAAAGACACGTCTCCGTCCTCCATCCGTCTGTCCTGCAGCTCCACCCGCTTCCTAAAAGATGGATGCTGGTTCTCTGGGTCCGGCTGCTCGTCTCTGAACAGGAGGACATATTCTGGTTCCAGGTCCGGTCGGGTCCACTGCACAACCACAGCAGGTTTGTTGTTGGGGAGTCGGCATGGCAGAGAGACGATCTGTCCAGGAACAGCTGAGATGTTTTTATGGACTACAGAGAAACAGAGCAGAAAGGTCAGAGGTCAGAGTGACCCGGTCCACTTCCAGCAGCAGCAGAGACCAAGGAGAGACACTGGACTCTGACCTGGACTGGATCAATGGATCTAACAAGGATTATTGTTAGATCCTGAATAAATGTATTTTATTCAGTTGCTTTAAGGTTTAATCAGTTTAATATTTTAATATGTTCTAAAATTGGTAAAGATTTCTTTAGAAAATCTTTCCATTCATATTGAGATGCTGAGAGTTAATCTGCTTTTGGTTCTCAGTTCATCAGCAGGAGATCCTTCCTACAACATCCTGACTAACAGGCTG